TGGCACCTAACATTTTAAATTATTGTTTTGTTCAAAAAGTCATAGTGGGCCTCTTGGAGTGCTTCAAGAATCAAGGCAAAAAGCAAATGGCGGTGATTTTTATTATATTTCTTTTGTAGATCTTTTATTGAAAAAAATTATATTACGAAAAACACAAACAAACATAACTTTAGATGATGTTCCAGTGACTAATTTCTCGTTGGTAGGCAAAGATATTATTTTTCGATTTGTCGTTATTTTATTCCACTTCATCGATGGCGTAGATAGGGGCGACCGTTGTTCCCCTTTTAACTATAAAAATCGACTAGTACTAATATCCATGTACAACATGTGTGTTGAGTTAATGAATATATGTATAAAGTTACTTATGTCTAATACCAAACATAACTCTAAAGTAAAAATAATATAAAAATAACATTACGAAGCATAGATTTTCGCCATGTCAGCATCCGAAGCGTGAGAATCTGCCACCTAGGCTCAACACGTTTTGAATTAATATATAAGGAGTGATGTATACTGATGCTAAGAAATATCATACTTCTGTTTACATTTTATTTTAAAGTACAAAAAATTCTTTAAAATATAAAAAAATTCATATTGAAAGTATGTATATATATATAAAAAAAAAAAATATGATTGTGCATGGAAATATGATATCACCTAGTTGAGAGAATTACGATTATCTTCCAATACTTCCCAAATCCCAACTTTGGGTATATGATATAGAAAAATGTTACGGTCGGTCTTGTTACAAGAACTATTCAGACGGGGTTTGTGACAGTTAGATTAACAAATAACCGTATGTGATAGTTGACCTAACGGTTACAAATCCTGACGGAATGATTCCGTAATGGGAACGTAGCATTTCCGTATGATATAATATGCTCCAACTTTAAATGATAATATTGTTAGTTGGAGATATAATCATAATGTTTTTTTAATTAAAAGTCATACTAAAAAAAAAGCAATATAAAATAAAAGAAATGTTACGGTCTCGTTACAGTAGCATCCATACACATGTAGTTAGTATAAGATAGATAATTCAACGATTAAAACACCCTAGGGGATAAAACCGTAACGTGACCACAGAATGATTCCGACGACTACACATATGATCTAACGGTTACAAATCCCGACAGAATGATTCCGTAACAAGAACGTAGCATTTCCGTATGATACAATATGCTCCAGCTTTAAATGATAATATTGTTAGTTGGAGATATAATCATAATGTTTTTTAATTAAAAGTCATACTAAAAAAAAGCAATATAAAATAAAAAAAAATGCTACGATCTCGAACAGTACCATCTATACACATGTAGTTAGTATAAGATTAACAATTCAACGATTAAAACACCCGAAGGATAAACCGTAACGTGACCACAAACATTTCCCTTAATTAAATTACAGGTTGGAGCAAAATAATAATCTAATAATAAGAAGAAGAAATAAGACAAGATAGATTTTTTTTTTTTATTAAAGGAATATATACCAATTACCATGTTGCAAAGACTTGCACACGACTAGCGCACAACTGCAAAGAAAATAACAGCTTAACAAGGAATACATTACACAGAAACAATATCCATGAAAGGTCAAATTAATATAACAAGGAACACATAATCCAAATATAATAAGTAATACATATGTATTTAATTGTCACTCAATTACCTAAATAAAAAATTTTATTTTTGTCACGAAAAAAAGGACGTGAAGAGAGGTTACTCCCGTTGACCATCAACTATGACCATTTCCACATATAACAAAATCTTCCTAAACACAACAAAATGTAACTCCTTATTTATGTCTTAAATAGTTCCTCTTCTCCCCTTGTTTTGCTCCCTTCCACTCTTCTTTTCGCCACATTCACTCAAAACAACAAAAATTTCAACCATAAACACAAAAAAACCTCACAAAAACACACACACACACACTCACACACAGACACACACAACAACAATACATCCCAAAAGAAAGAAAAAAAAAAATGCAATGTGCAACGATGAATCGTCGAACCCTGACGATGAACTGGGACGATCTGGCTGGCGACGATGACGATGACGACAACTTCTTCGAGTCGCGCGAGCGCATCTCGTCGGTCGTCCCCCTCGACCTCGCCTCATCCTCCTCCGACGACGACGATTCGGAGGGCTTCGAGGACAGCCGAATGTCCTTCACCTCCACCATATCTTCCGCCTCCATCAAGGTGGCCGTTTCTCGACCCAACGACCTCCAAACCCCCTCCGTC